AGGAAATTGAGGAGTAGCTGCCAAGGAAGATTGGTGTGCTTCCTTCCCTTTCCCTTTTCATTTCTTGTTGGTCGCCTAATCATACTGATTTTCAGTCTTAAATGGCTCCTCATCATTATGGCCACTGCCATATTTTAGGCCCTTGTGACTTCTCAACTTGGTTGCTGCAGCTGTCTCTTAATGTACTTCTGACTTTTCATCAAAGCCAAGGGCGTGGTCCTAGGTGCAGGTACTCTGTGGGGCATACGAATGAACTGAATGGCATGGCTTTTCTCCCTTGCATGGCTTTTCTCCCTTGAGCAAGTCTCATTGCAGAGAATGGAGTACCTTCACAGAGCAGTCAGATGACAGCAGAAGGCAGTGCTGATTGCATGTCATATTGAGTGTCTTCATATTGAGAAAGAAGAAACCAAAAGAGAAAGGAAGATTTCATAGGGGTAGAGGCAAGTTATAAATTGGATCTTGTAGGGCAAGATTTTAATAGGTGGAAGTGAGATTAGGATTTCATTACAGGACGGAAAATGATGAAGCCAAAGAACTGGTGATGGCAGTGTGGGTGGAATGGGTGCTCAGGAAAGATAGTATGTTATGCAGTGAGAAGGTAGAATAAACAGGGAAGAGTAAATCCTTTCATTTTGGAAAGGAGTTGCAGGAACCACTAAGTCTTGAAATGAGAGCGCCTACAAGTTGTAGTGTTTTCGGTTATTCAAATAATGTATCATTTGAAATAAGATGATTTCTGTAGTTGGTTAGATATTTAGTTGTGCTGTATGCTTGTTCTGAAGAGTTTCCTCTGTACCCTCCAAAGAAGAGTCAGCTGTTGCTCTTCCATAGACTGGCAAAGCTGTGTCTGTTCTCTCTCTATCCATTGTGAACAAGAGTACTCCCCCACTAGGATGGCTCACCATTTTGTTTCTGTCCTAGGCTTTTGGCACTATGAGTTCCTTGATAATAAATACATGCAGCTTGTCTTCAGAATATGCAGCTGTGGGAGAGCCCTGAACCATGTGGTTTTAATCATTCTTGAAAAGCACTCTGGTCAGAAAGATAGACCTGTAATTTTTATTTTGTTACTTTTATTTTTGAAAGATCAGAATCTGGTTTTGAAAGTATTCCACAATATTTTTCTTAGTTTGTATTACCTTGATGTTGAGATGTTTACATCTGGTCTTTCACACCAATTAAAAAATTTTAGGTATGGTCATGTTTTTATATAAAGTAAAGTTTTTTCAAATAACGTATCACTTGAAATGAGATCATTTCTTTTAGATCACTTCAAATTTATTTTAGAAAAATGTAGTTTTGAAACTGAGGGCAGAACTAGGGCATTTCTAAAGATTATCTTTTCTAACCAATCAGTGGATTTATTAGGAATTTTATGGAAACTTCAGGGATACCCAGCAAAAATCAAATTATTATCTTTGCTATTAATTGGGTATGTTAATTGTTTAAATATTCTTGTCATGTTTTTAAGTAAAATACATTGTTTTACTGTTGCAGGGGCAATGTTAAATATTGTTCAAGATTCAGCACTTTTGGAAGCCATTGGTTGCCAAATGGAGATGGTAAGAAGCATACCACTTGCACTTCTGATTTTATGTACACTACATTCCAAAATGCCCATCCTTGTGATTTTAAGGCATTTTTTTGTAAATTCAGTTCATTGATTCAGAAGGTTCCTATTTTAAAATACATATTTTGAGGTTTCAGTGCCTCATCAGCTATAAACTAGGTCCCTGAGAGATTCCACAAGAGAGAAATTCCAGCTAAATGCTTGTCCTTTTTCCTGGACAGTGTCTACTTAAGGCTCTTAACTCTTTTGCTGTGCTAGTGAACTGGCTTGAATAATCTAGGAAAGCTGCCTACTCCATAATTCCTTTCATTCCTAGTAAATCTAGAGCTGGCCTCAAAGCAAGCATCTTTTCCATCTCATCAGCTCTTTCTAGCCCCTCTAGACCAGAGTTTGAGGGTCCCCCAAAGCACCAGTTCTTCCAAATCAGAAAAGCTTCCCAGAGACTCCCAATGCCCTCTGCTTCTGTCTTCAAGATATGTGATTCCTATAGCTGGAGTAGAGGCAGGGGAGTGGAGAAATTGGTAGAGTATCTTGGAGTGAGCTAAGGACCCAAAGTCATTAGCTAGTGAAGGCTAGTGAAAATGGAAAAGGTCCTGGGTTGGCCCTTTATGAACAACAGCAAAGAAGACCTCAGAATGGTGCCTGTGATATCAGGCCCTTCATACCCTCTAGTACATGGTTTATGCAAAAACACCACAACAGTTTTAATTCCTTGTCAGTTTTTATCTATGTATCAATTTGTGCTGTTTAGTTGACACATTCTATTTTATCAACATGCCTTTTAACAATTGACCTCTGTCTATTTTTGTAAAGTATAGATGTAGCCCTCAAATGTTGGATTCATTTTTGTTTGACTAGGGTGGTGGAGAAAATAACCTGAAGAGTCATAGTCGCACTAATAGTGGTATTAGTTCAGCAAGTGGTGGAAGCACAGAGCCCACAACTCCCGATAGTGAAAGACCTGCTCAAGCTCTTCTAAGGGATTATGGTAAGCCTTGTTTGTTTCTTTGAAATCCAAAGTTTATAGCAAAAAAAATTTTTTAACAAAGTTTTAATGTTTGTGATTTTTTAAATATATTATAGTAGAAAGTCTATTGGTCTAAGAGATTAAAAAAAGAAATAAAATCTTTTAAATTTAGCTCTAGCTTTTAGTAGTTAGATTTTTGGGTAGCTTATTAGGTTTTATAAGTGATTATAATGGGTGGTCAAGGAAACATTTCTGGATTTTGTAGCAGTTGCTGGTCATACAGAGTCAAATAAGATGTGAGCTCTGCCTTAGAGTCTAATGGCAGGGTTGGCTAGTATATCAGTTATTGCAATGTGGTAAGTGGGGGAGATGGGATATGCATTAGATGGGAACCCGGAGGGTCTTTTTGTTTAAAACCTATATACACTACTATATCTGATGGGATTCTTCAGTCACACATGTTAAGTAAGAGTAAGGAAACATTTGCCAGCAGAACATCCTAGTCAATGATGTCCTTTACCCTGGGCAATTACCTTATGGGTTCTGTGAGATTGTGAGTGCCTTTATATTTTTATAAACAAATACTAATAGTATATTGTATCTGTGAGTGTTAATCTAACTGGATTAGCATGAAATCTAGATCCTTAGTTGTGAATTCAGTTTCTTAATCACCTAGAGAGTTCACGAGCCTAGTAGTCAGGCATGTTTCGGTGGTTTAAGTTTGCTAAAAGTATTCTTGAACATGTCAAATACATAAGGTCATTATGTGGATATTCAAGACATTTGCACTTATAAAGAAGTTATTTAAATTGTTTTCTCATGTTCTTGGGTTTAAGTATCCTGTAGGTGAAAATTATTTATTTTCATGCTTTCTAAGTCTTTTAAACTGAGGAAATTTTTGCATTGTTTGTGTTCTAATATAAATGTTTGAAGTGACTATTGTTTGTTTCGGTATTTGGAACTGGTGTTAGTGAGTTCTGCTTGTAATGTCGTAAAATATCTTGTATTAAGAAATCCAGATTTGTGTTAGTGTTGCATGAATGTCTCTCTTTAATGATCATTCCTTTTTCTGTTGTCACTGCCCTCTTTCTGATAGGATCGACAGGTATAATGTCCCTAAAGCTTCCTTTATAAATTCAATTTCATATGTCCTAATTTATTATTAGCTAAGTAATAATTACATTTAAATATAGAAGTGGAGGCCAAATAAAGCCACAGTGACTTGATTAAAATTTTTTAGAAGTAGTCCTGGAGAGTTAAATATTAAAATATGTTTGAAAAGGTATTGCATGTGACTTTTTATGGTTTAAACCCTGAAAATAATTTCAACAGATGCTTTAGGCTAATTCCCAGCATCTGAAGAGATTCTAAAATTTGGATTCTTTCCTCTACAAAATTTGAAGGAAATAATTGATAGCCTTTTCATTGTTTTTTTTAATGTAACTCTCCTTATGAATGAATTTTGAAATTTTAAGATTTATATTGTTAAAAAATGATATTGCAACTGTCAAATTCCAGTAAATGTCTGGATAAAAGTACCTGAGCTGGGAGCTAGAAGCTGCTCTGGTCCTGTGTGTTGTGCCCCATGCACTGTTGTTCAGTCAGGCTTGACGCTCAGGCCAGTGGGGTGGGAAGCATAGCGCTGTGTGGGTGCCCTTCGTGCTCACGGTGGCTGCTGTGGTCTGTGCCTGGTGGAATGCTGTGCTTCTTGTTACTAATGCTTAGTTGTTTTCCCTCCCTGTGGGATGTGGCATTGGGGTTATATCCTAGCTCTTAATACAGATTCAGCCGCTGGGCTCCTGATTCGCAGCATTCATCTCGTCACACAAAGACTCAACTCCCAGTGGCGGCAAGATATGAGCATATCACTGGCAGCTTTAGAGCTCCTCTCTGGCCTGGCAAAGGTGAGAAGCCCGTTCCTTTGATTTTAGCCCAGGAGCCTCAGACCATGGCTGTTTTTTTCTCTATCTCCTGACCTCTTGGTATGGGTATTGCTGTGCTGGTTATACAGAAACTTAGTTTATATCCAAGGTGTACAAAAACGTGCCCTCAAATGAAATTTTACAAAGTGGATTTTATTTTAATAGGTTCAAAGAGTCTGAATGATATTTTTGCTGTTAAATTACAGGAAATGTTTCAATATTTGCTGTTGATTTGCACATAATAGTAGAATGCCTATTGATTTGTATTTACTTACATTTCTTCATGGCATTTTGTGCTATTATAGGATCATCTAATTTTAATAAATAAATACAGATTTGATAATGGAAAAAAAGGGGCTCTTTTTGTAAAGAGTAATTATCCCAAAATATGCCATTTGGGACTATCTGTGACTCTTCCATCTTCTATCATCAGAGAAGAGTGAAAATTGGCTATCTTTTCTAATTTCTTTCATAGTTGTTATTTCAGTTTTGTGCAACCTGAGAGCTAAGTGGCCATTTGTACTTCTCTAAGTACAAAATTTGAAAGTGAACAGTTCAGTGGCTATTAGTATTTCACAATATACAAACACCACCTCCATCTAGTTCCAAAACATGTTCACCCCAAAAAAGAAACCCTGTACTCATTAAGCAGTTGATTCCTGGTCTTCCATCCCCCAACCTGACAACCACCAATCTGTGTTCTGTCTCTATGGATTTACCTATTCTGGTTGTAGTGAACATGCATGTACATATATTTGTTTGAATACCAATTTTCAGTTCTTTTGGGTATGTATCTGAGAGTGGAATTACAGGGTCATATGGTAATAGTTTAACTTTTTGAGGAGTTACCAGTATTTCCCAAAGTGACTGAATCACTTTACATTCCCACCACTGATGTATGAGAGTTCCATTTTCACCACATCCTGACTAACATCTTAGTGTTTTCCTATTTGTTTAATGGGCAGGATTATCTCATGTAAAAACTTGGTGTTGTGAGAATCAAATGAAATGAAATATGGGGGAAGCCTCAGGATGATGGAGTAGGAAGGCAAGATGCAAATTTCTTCCCCCCCACACACAAAGGAAGCAAGTACAGCAAATACAACTAAACTTGAAAATGAGCTGAAAACTGCCAAACATACCATCTACACACGGGGAAGAAGAGAAGACCACAGAAAAGGGTAGAGAGGCAGAGCTGAGACTAAGTGGGACCACAGCCCTTCCCCTATCTCAGCCCACAGGCAGGAAGAAGTGAATGGAGTGGAGAGGGGATAGGTGCCCAGGAACTCTGCACACCTGGCCCTGAAGATCTGCTACAGGAAGACAATTCCACATTGTACTGGGTTCAGGTGATTAGTGGGACTGGACACCAGGGAAAGATGGAACGCTCTGGGGGACTGAGACACCAGCTGCCTGTGGAGGACAGGCATGCTCCACTGGTCCCACAGAGACCCAGTACAGAGGCAGCAGTTTGAAAGACTTGCCAGCAGTAGGAGGGGAGCCAGGTGGGCAAGGGTTGGATGGGGCTGTCTCTGCAGGAGAAAGAACAGGTGGATGATACTTCACCAGCACTCCCTTGACCCAGCTGGTCAAGCACTCAGGGGCCCCATGTGCTTCATCCCCCTCACTGGCAGCTCAGCCCCAAGGTGCCTCCCTCCATGCCACAATGTGCCAGCCCACTCAGTCCAGTAGGCACAGGGAGAATCTCCCAGCTTTCATGGCCCTGTTCTAGCCCAATTGGAGAGGCACCTGCAGGAGCCAGCTCTGGGAGCTTCCTCCCCACAGGGGGCCAAGCTGGGTGCTCTCTGCCTTGTTGCTTCATGCCTTATTGCTCCTAGGGGGCTCCCACGGGACTCGCTGTTGCAGCAGCTGTGTGTCACTGTGGCTCAACTAGCTGCCTCCACCATTGGTGAGCTTCCTACCACCTAACTCATGGCCACTCACCCGCACACTCCCGCAGTGCACATTGAGCCACCACTGCGAGCCTGTGAGCCCTTCCATTGTACCAGTCACTGCCTCCGTGGGCCCAGGTGTCCTCCCATCACATGGTTCACCACCACCTCCACTGTGCATGCCCTACTGCTGCTGTGTGCCCACTACACTCTTCCATGGCATGGCTTGCCACCACTGCTATGCTCCCAAAGGCTTTGCAACTAGGTGACTTGCCACTGCCTCAAGTCCATGCACTTTGCCATTGTACAACTCACCCTGTGACTACTCTGCCCACCTTGTTGATCCAGCAACCCTGCCATCGCTACAGGGCAGAGGGCAGCCCTGCCCACAACAATCCCAGCAGAAACCACTGCTCTGATCACATAGGCTGAGCTAAGGCAAACCACCGGCCTCAGCAGACTGAGATAAACCACTGCTGACAAACGTACAAAAAGGCAACCCTGCCCATTGCCCACCAGCAGCAACTGGGGTTTCACAGCAAAGGAGAAACAGGAACTAGAGAGGAAGGAGTCTTGAGCTCTGGACCCCACAGGATGTCTTCTTCATAAAGACATTGCTCTCTAGATCAGGAAGCGTGGCAGATCCATCTAATACAAAGGAAGAAACACAGATACCCTGACAAAATGAGGAGGCAGAGGTATATATATATTCCAAACAAAACTACAGGATAGGACACCACAAAGAGGGCTAAATGAAATGGAGATCACCAATCTTTCTGATAAAGATTTCAAAATAAAAGTAATAAATATGCTCACTGATCTGCAGAAATATATTAAAGATCTCAGGGAGGACTTCAGCAAAGAAATGGAAGAGCTGAAGAATATAGTATCTAAAATGAAACATACAGTGGAGGGATTTAAGAGTAGATCATTGCAGGTAAAGGAGACAGTCAATGAGATGAAAATTGGAGAACAGGAACACAATGGAGCTAAGGAATAGAGAGAAAAAAGGACCTCTAGGAATGAAAGAAAGACAAGAGAGCTGTGTGACCAATCCAAATGGAACAATATTCACATAATGGGGGTACCAGAAGGAGAAAAGAGACAAAGGGATAGAAAATCTCTTTGAGGAAATAACTGAAAACATCCCCAATCTGGGGAATGAAATAGATACTCAGGTCATGGAAGTACAGAGAGCCCCTAACAAAAGGAACCCCTGGAAGACAACACCAAGACATATAATTAAAATGGCAAAGATCAAGGATAAGGAGAGAGTATTTAAAGTAGCAAGATAGAGAAAAAAGACTAATTACAAAAGAAACCCCACCTGCTATCAGCAGACTTCTCAGCAGAAACTTTACAGGGCCAGAAGGGAGTGACATGAAATATTTAATGTACTGAAACAAAAAGACCTTCAACCAAGAATCCTCTTCCCAGCAAGATTATCATGTGAATTTGAAGCAGGATTAAATAATTTCAGATAAATGAAGGCTTAAAGAATGTATAGCAACAAAACCAGCATTATAGGATATATTAAAGAAATTGCTGTAGATGTAAAT